TATTACTTGGCTGCCACAATGTATCAAGCTGGAAGATTTGACAACAGATAACAAAAACCCGTCAGCTCATTCATCATTTCCTGAAAACTTGCACTTTTCTATGGCCGGCCCAGCGTGGGAGACTTCTGGAATTGTCACTTTTTTTTTTTTGCAACAATTTATCTTTTCAGAATGTGATGTCTGGACGGGATCCAGAAGGGGAAATACTGAAAAATTCGAGTGTAAATTTCCTCCAAAGTCCTATAATTCAGCGGCTGTTATGATTATCAAGTCAGCTTTGTATATAGATCATGGGAACGCGGAATTATACCGGCGCGGCCAGACAATGGCAGGATAGGAAGCTGTGCATCCAGGCTCCATCACTGGAGGCTTCGCTGTGTTGTTGGCTGTTGTGGCATCCGGGAGCCGAGGTTCCTGCTGTTTAGGTATTTTCTTGGTCTATCCCGAAACTAAAATAATGGGAAGACAATAGGGTTGCCACCTTTTTGTCAAGCAAAACCGGAACACTCTAGCGATGCGCTGACATTTTTCGGGGAGAGCTTATTCATATGTAAATATCACAGTTGAGACTATTTTCAGTGGGGGGGCCAGTAGCCCCTATCTTAATTTTGGTTGCCCCTGTCTGCCTGACATCTTGTGTGCGGGTTTCTGCTGCCGGGAAACCAGTGGCGTGTCACCCGGGGGCAGGAATAGAGTGACTCCCCGCCTTGACGTCATCACACGCGCGCGTGATTTTGCGGTGCGTGCGCGATGTCATCGCGCTTGCGCAGTGGTCTTTTTGACGCCTGCCGGCGGCCATCTTGGTGGTTGACGCCGGCAGAGATAGGAGGGGACGTTCACCCGGCGGGATAAGGTATGCCGCCGGGTCCCCTCCTCTCTCCTGACACTGTCCGTGACCGAGTGCCCGACATTTAATAAGGGGTGACACCAAAATGACTGTTAGTCATTTTGGTGTCGCCCCTCCAATCGTGGCACCTGGGTGCAGGCCGCACCCCCCTTGTGACGCCACTGCATGAAACCCAGACACAGCATTCAAAACTCGGACTGTCGGGTTGAATCCTGGACAGGTGGCAACCCTATTGAGCACCCCCTCCCTGTGCCTCACCAGGCCCTCGGCATCATGAGGGTGTTCCCATGCCGATGGGGACAAGGGCCACAACCCTGACCCGGTGGTTGTAAGGGTGGCAACCCTAGAAGACAATCTGCCATGATATCAACTGGACCCAAAACTTGGTTTGGGGGAAATCTCAGCGTGGGGATACCTGTTCCATTGGCAACTGTCAAAGTTGGGATTCCCTTTCACCTTGAGGAGAGACTACTCGCATCCTGTTGTGCCTTTTGGACAGGAAGTGAGAAGAAATCACGGACAGGGACAGAAATCAAACAAAACTCTACTTAGAATTTAAAGAAGAACTCCCGGATTTTTTTAAAATGTTAACACGTGCAGTGGGGCTAGCTCTGCACTGCAAGGGTTAACTGCTCGTTTTTCTCTAGGGGACGGAATAAAGCAGATATACTCGCTCCATCCTCGGTCGCCCGCAGCCTCTTCTCCCCCATCCCCCACCTCGGGTGGTCTAAAGACCCATGATGTCATCAGGTAATAATAATGTCATGTCATCATCTCAAACAATTCATCCGCGCACAGCTCCCTCCTTATGTATCACTGGCCCCTCCCCTTTTAGATTGTAAGCCCTCAGGGGCAGGGCCCTCCTTACCATCTTGTCTTGAATTGTATTGTGATTGTAATTTCATCCTTACATTGTAAAGCGCTGCGCAAACTGTTGGCGCTATATAAATCCTGTATAATAATAATAATAATAATAATAATCAGGTCTAACGCAGCTGCATTAGACATGAGGATGCTGAGAGACATACCACAGCCGTGAGCAGGGGAGAGAGGTGAGCAGTCACTGCCGTAGGGCCGAGTATCAGGTGAGAGAAATAAAAAGTTAACCCTTTGCAGTTCGGAGCTAGCCCCACCGCAAGGGTTAACTTTTACAAATCCTGCAGTGCTTCTTTAAGTTCTAAATAGAATTTCTTTTGATTTCTGTCTGTGTCCCGTTAGAATGATTTCTTCTCACTTCCTGTCCGAAGGATGCGAGTAGTCTCCTCAAAGTGAAGGGGAATCCCAAATTTGACAGTTGCCAATGGAACATGGTATCCCCGCTCTGAGATTTCTCCCTTTTCTTCTTTTCTGGCCTCTTTTGGATGTCCTCTCAGACACTTTGTATCATTGAAAGGGATGTGACTGATTTGATTGTGATTCCATCTATTTTGGAATCATTGTTTTACTGTGTAGGAGAAATGACAAGAATTGGAAGCAAGAGTCACAGCAGATATACTCCCTTTCCTCAGGGGAGGGCATGAGTCACAGTAGATAGCTTACCTCTCCTCAGGGGAGGGCACGAGTCACAGCAGACATCATCCTTCTCCTCAGGGGAGGGCATGCGTCCCAGTAAACAGCCTTCTTCTCCTCAGGGGAGGGCCTGAGTCATGGCAGATATTCTCCCTCCCCTCAGGGAAGGGCCTGAGTCACAGTAGACAACCTTCTCCTCAGGGGAGGGCATGAGTCACAGTAGACAGCCTCCTTCTCCTCAGGGGAGTGCCTGAGTCATGGCAGATAAGCTCCCTCTCCTCAGGGAAGGGTCTGAGTCATGGCAGATATCCTCCCTCTCCTCAGGGGAGGGCCAGATTTACAGCAGATATCCTCCCACTCCTCAGGGGAGGGCCTGAGTCCCAGCAGATATCTTCCCACTCCTCAGGGGAAGGCCTGAGTCACAGCAGATATCCCCTACTCCTCAGGGGAGGGCCTGAGTCATAGCAGATATCCTCCCTCTCCTCAGAGGAGGGCCAGATTTACAGCAGATATCCTCCTACTCATCAGGGGAGGACCTAAGTCACAGCAGGTATCCCTCACTCCTCCAGGGAGGGCCTGAGTCACAGCAGATATCCTCCCTTTCCTCAGGGGAGGCCCTGAGTCACAGCAGATAGCCTCCCCTTCCTCATGGGAGGATCTACTACAACAAATGGGAACAGCCAATCCGATATTTTTTTATTTTCCTCTATAGCACTAGAAAACGGGACAGTCAGCAGTTGTTTGATTGCTGTAAACAATGCCCCCAATTTGCACTTGTAGGCCGGTCACAAGCTGCACTAAGGCTTTATACTGCTTACATAACAAGGCCATGGCAGTGATGGTGGGTGGCTGTTGGGCTGTTACCATGGCAACGGACCAGAAATTAGTTTTCATCATTCTATCTCCTATAATCTGACCCACACTGACATGCTACTCTGTTACTGTGCCTTCCCCAGAACAACGTGCAGTAGTAACCAGATGTCAGCTGCTGATCGGTATCTGTGCTGAACTGCACTCCGCACATCACCCTGAGCCTTATGAAGTACTTATCGGTTGCTTCTCTAAATTCTGAACCTTAAAAGGAACCTGTCAGAGCAAGAAGTTGCCATTGATGGTTTGTTTTTATGGTGCCCGTTCCTGGGCTGCCAACCTGATCCTTGATGGACTGCTTAGTAACTCATTGACCTAGAACAAGTATGTGTATATAAGGTGCATTGACAATAGATATTGATATGCTTGTTCCAGGTCAGAACACTCACCATGCAAGGAAGGGAGGATCAGGATGGCAGCTCTGGAGCTTCAACCTTTAAAGAAAAGTCAGCCATGGCCAGTCCCATTCTCCTACACCAGCGGGCTCCATAAACATGGGATGAGAGTTATCTAATTTAGTTGTTTTTGGACAGGTTGGGTGACAATTTCATGACTATAGGGTATGGAATAGACATGGGATGAGAGTCGCCTAATTCAGTTGTTTTTGGACAGCTTGGGTGACAATTTCATGAATATGGGGTATGGGATAGACATGGGATGAGAGTCACCTAACTTGGATGTTTTTGGACAGGTTGGGTATCAATCTTATGCCTATGAGGTATCAGATAGACATGGGATGACAGTCACCTAATTTAGTTATTTTTGGACAGGTTGGGTGACAATTCCATGTCTATGGGGTATGGGATAAGAGTCGCCTAATTCAGTTGTTTTTGGACTGGTTGGGTATCAATTTTATGACTATGGGTTATGTGATAGACATGGGATGAGAATCACCTAATTAAGTTGTTTTTGGACACCTTGGGTGACAATTTTAAGACTATGGGGTATGGGATAGACATGGGATGAGAGTCACATAATTAAGTTGTTTTTGGACAGGTTGGGTATCAATTATATACCTATGGGGTATGAGATAGACATGGTATGAGAGTCACATAATTTAGTTGTTTTTGGACAGGTTGGGTATCAATTCCAAGCCTATGGGGTATGAGATAGACATGGGATGAGAGTCACATAATTTAGTTGTTTTTGGGCAGCTTGGGTGACAATTTTATACCTATGGGGTAGAGCCAAAGAGTGAAAGATTGTACAGGTTAGAATGCACTACTGTGATAGACGATGCTGGGAGTGTTCAGCTGCTCTACACCTATATATATATATATATATATATATATATATATAAACGTATACATAGCACTCAATA